CACAAACACTTCAATATCAAAAATATAAGGTAGTATCTATATTTAGGTCAATAATAACTGAAATTTAAGAATGTTAATCTAAGGATTGAACGACCTCTATTCAATGCTCATGCAGGTATGAAATAAAAAAAAAAAAAAACATTCCATTCCTATTAAGATATAATGCTGGGCCAGGGAAATACCACCGATAAGGTAGTACAAGTGCAGGTCAGTAGGTTAGAGCAATGATATCGAGATCAAAGATCCAGGGTTCGAATCTCGGTGTAGCCCTGTATCGTTTTCACTCTTAAAACACCGTTCTCAATTATTTTCTTTTTTTCATTTTTTCTTTTCATGAACGTTCCGAAAGATATGTGTTTCTTTGCAGAAATGATTTATTAAAGCTATTATCAAGCCTATAAAAAGTTTCAAATTTAGAAACAGTTTTTTGGCAGCGGTTCGTGGACCGTTAAATTCCAACCACAATGAAATGTAAACAGGGCCATGGAAACAAACCTACATTCAGTACATCATTATGACAACGAAATAACGTAAAGCTTCAAGGAGACGTAAAGAAAGCTCAAGATACCATCGAAAGAAGATAAGGTAGGAACGAAAAGCAATGGGGGGGGGGGGGGTCAACTGTTGTTATGGCGACAACAGACCAATCTTAATCATCAGAACAGGGCACAGAGGAAATGTAACAAACTATGATCCCGAAATCATTTTTATATAATATAAACTTGATTTAGTGTACAAAAATTAAACTTATATCAATCACTCTTGTTGGCCCGGATATTAGCGCGTAGGGGTGTCTTAATGTGGGAGGAAACCGGAGTACCCGGAGAAAACACCACGTTGTCGGGCAGGTGACCCCATACCTTTCCATGTTCGATTGGGGAATTGAACCCCGGCCGACTTGTTGAAAGGCAAGTGCACTATCTATTGCACCACCCGACCCCCCAATAAATGGGTTATTGTTAATTCCCATAATTAAATTATCAAGATTATATCTTTCGTATAATAATCGAAAAAAAAAATCATGGAAAATCAACGAGTTACATTATATTCGTTTCAGTATCCACTAAGACAATATTGTTTTGCTATACATGTCAGTTGAGAAGGGAAGTCTTATCTGATAACATTGTTTGTGTACTATCTTTATGTAAATAAATAGACTTGACCAACTGGGGATATATGTAAAAATCTGGTATCAAAGTGGTGATTTACGAGTAAAATTGTCCAATTATAAAACGTTAATATTTCAAGTGATGAAGTCCTTCATATCAAATGAGTCCAGTGTTTATTAAAAGTATTTCTGTAGAAAACTATATTTTTGCATGTTCTTTTTTTTTCGCGAGCAATGCATGCAGGTCTAATTCGCGAATAATTGAATTCGCGTTTGGGAGGATGTAAATTATTTCAATATTGATAGTACATTTATAATTATCCATAAAATCAAAAATTCGCGGAGAACATTTATTTCGCGAATGATTCTCCTCCAAAAACATTATCTCCCACAAAAAATAATTGATTAACAGTATTTTAACGGATATGACGAGTGGTTTCTAGTTCCTTGTATCACAACAAATAATTTCCTCAATTTCTCTGTTTGACGATCTTGTAATGTTTATTTAATCGTATAAAATTGACCCCACGCTCACAAAGATAACGCTACAGCAAACGGGATATATCAAATACAGATAAACTCGGTGGGTCAACACGAGATATTGAAATACCAGAAGATGTCGAATCATATGAATGAAGAAACGAATAAAAGATACTGAATAAGTGTGCGGAATGGTACCCATTAGTGTTTACGTAAGATACAATTCGCCCCTGACAATCCCAATGCCCCAACGTGACACTCACTTACCTCAGGATGATTTACTTCCGGGTCATAAAACGTTTTAAAACACATCACAGGGTGAATTTATGTAGTTGTCCAGCTGTGGTCGAGCGATCAACCTACAAACAAAGGCCACGGACTTATCCGGAGCGGGTTGAGGGGGGCCACTGGTCAACAGATAACGAGCGACATGCCGAAACGTATCAGACTCCTGTCACTAAACGAGTTTCATCATCAGCGCGCAGACGACAGTCAATGAGCAACGAGCGTGACGACCTGGACGCTGCATTCATACGATTGTGAGGGAAGATTACAGGTACAAAGGAAAATGAAACGAGATATGAACTAAATATAGTGACCTATCAAACCACTTATGACTAAAACGGGTGTTATCCAATCCTACAAAACTACACACTTACTCATGTAAACAAACTGTCACGTAATATGTAAACAAGGATATTGACAATCCTTTGCCACTACTGTCAAAACAGCCTACTTCAGAGAGGAGTTCGACAGATAAAAATACATTCCATTTAGCACACATATGTTTAAAAATAAAACAGATATACAGGTAGGTCAATTCTTCATTGATGTTCAACATGAAAAAACAGACAAACGTAATATAGTTGAGTACATTTATCATATCAAGTTTGGCTTGATTTCATGTCAAACTGTTTTTATTCTTAACAAACTACAACTTACGTTTTGATTCCGCGAAGTAGTATTTTCAAATGTTACGTAAAAATCAATTATCTATTTTTTTTAAATTTTTGACTTCAAAATTGTTAACAGCAAAAATCAATGCTGTTCTAATTTCATTGATGACACACATGACTTTATACTTCATGGTAGAGTTACCCATAGTAATACAGTCGCGAAAATAACTTACTTTAGTTAAACATCATTATATCTCTTCTGTTCCCATGAGATGCTGTTCCATTAGGTTTTCTATTCACATCAGTAAAACATCTGTCTTTTTTTCACCAAACCCGTATATCCTTGCATTCCTTCGTGACCGGTGTTGCCCTCTGTCTTGACAGTCTTCCTAGGTCCTTTCGTTCTACTTCCCACTTAGCCGTTCGCAGGTTAATTATTCCGTACATCTTAGCAGTGCTACCGTAAGAACTTTTTATCCACGTTTGGACGTTGCTTCAGACAGCTTCCCGGTACTGGAGCGCAAGCATCCAGTGGTAGGACGCCGGGCTCGTGACAGAAGGGTTGCGGGTTCCAGTGTACTTAGCTGTAAATGAGTACGTGGTACAACTGTTGAATGCTAGCTGTGAGCGCCGAAATGGCAAGTACCGACTGTCTGATCCGCAGGGAGTTGAGAAAGTAATTGGCTGGTTGCAAAGGCCCTATAACCATGGATAATAATTTGTGAATTGCTTTAATTAAGACGACCTACACACTAGATTGTGATAGAGCGGTATTTAAGAACCTCGAATTATTATTATCATTATTAACTTATATGGTAAATATATAGGTCATATCTTATTCAGACATCAAAACGAATTTTGTTAAAAGATTATCGCTTCTGGAGTTTATATATGATACTATGGAATTGTGCAAAGGATTATGAAAGTTTGCGTGAAAAAACGATTAGTTATCACGTTAAATTGTTTTCGGTGTTGAATGTTCGCCGTTCACTCGGTACGTGTATAAAGATTAGCATCTTGTTGACTTTTTTACGAGATAAACTGTTTTTTTTTTATCGCAAAATGCAAACAGGCACTTAACAGCCACACAGCATATAATTCAATCGCTGTGTATATGAGTTTATTTCAACACCGAATGCACGTGTTCAATTCTGAACACAAACAAAGGATTTATATATTTTATTTTGTAATAGCCCGTAAAATTGTTATTGTAAAATGACGTTAAAAAGGTTTAATATTAAAAGTTAAAAAAATGTCATAATTCCATGTAGGGTGCAAAGTTTCGAGATATTTAACGACACGCATGCATTTAGTGGAAGATCATGTCAGACAAATGGGCCAGACGAAAGCATGCCGAGTTGGACTCGCATTCAGAGTGGGTTAAACCTTTACGCTTAACACAGGGTTTCCAATGATGCAGGTTGTTGAAGACTATGGATAAGTTTTATATACACCATTAGGTTCCCGCAGGGAAATGTGCTATTCCTTTACGTGATATGAAGGTCGATATTTTTTAGTATGCTTATTACAGTGCCTTGCTGTGTTGTTGTCACTACGCGAGTTCTCGATGTGAGGACGTGACCATTATTCAGATTCGACTTGGATGTACATGGCGGGTGTGTGTTGTCGGTGAATCAGAAAACACTTACCCTTCTGGAACACCTGGTCTTATTCTCCTAGTACTTTTTCAAGGGTCGCCATATAAATATTTCCTATGTTAATATTTTGCCCTACTTTAAACGATTTCAAGTTCTAATAATGGTTTTGTTGGCGCTTCGATATTCTCTTTTTGTGAGATGAAATTGTTTTATATTTTTCTCTGAATAAATCAGAATATTTCTGAGAAAAAATAATTTTCCGCACTCTCGCTAGTTCTTCTTTGCTTATGTATGAATTTAAGCAATAACGCCTCCAGAGAAAAATTGTTGATTCGGAACCACTGCCCAAAACGGATCCTATTGTTTTTATTACTTATAAAACTTAAATACCTATATTGTGAAAATGGAAATTTTCGCGATGTCAAAATTCTCGCTGTGTTTTTTTAGCGTTGAGTAAGTAAACACGGTTATAGGTTATATCCAATAGAAACATAGATCATTATACATATTTCAGAGTCATCGCCAACGGGAAAATTTCCAAACCACGATCAGTTTGAAGAGTTGCAACGCGAACATTTCCACACGCGAAACATTTCAACTTTAGCAGTATATAAATATCAACTATTCAATAACTAAGAATACGAATGAAAATGAAACAAGATATAAATTAAACACTCAATGGAGTAGACAATGCACACTTGCTGACGTAAATTGTCTGACACGCAATATCTATTTATAAGGAAGTTCACAGCCCTTTTAAATTACCGTTGGCAGAGCCTACTCCAGATACCAGCACGAATGCACATACCAACATTCAATTCAACCAACAAGTCTTATCTATTACAAATGGGTAGGAATGTTATTCATTGATGCATATTAATGAAATAAAAATAGACAAGTGCAACAAAAATATCATCACTAACAGAGGGTTTAATTATACGTTTAATGATTTCAAGTTTTGGTATTTCTGCTTGTCAGGCAATTTCATTACGTAACTACACAATTAAAAGGGTGTCTGCGTTCTTTTCCCGTGAATCGTTATAATGAATAACTGCTCCACTAGATTTTCTGTTTATATCAGCAAAAAATCTTCACAATTCTCTCATATGCTTGCAGTCCTTGATGCCCGGTTTCGACTTTTTTTGTGTCCTGTAGCTCCCCTTAGGTCCTTAGGTTCCGCTCCCCACTAAGCCTTATCGCCCAGGTTAGTTCGTATGTCTTAACCGCGTCCTCGTAAGAGCTTTTTATCAGTGATTGGTCGTTGCTTCGGACGGCTTCTATAAATGTCTTCAGCTCTGTGCCGTAGGAATCGCTTCCCTCAAATGTGAAATCTTTGTCCTCGTCACGCTTGCCTTTCTCCATGGAACGCACGCGCAGAATGCAGGTGTCTCGGTATGGTTCTAATAAAGAGAGCTTCAACCCATCCATCTGCACATCAATGTTTGCTTCGTATCTGTTACCTGGCAACGCAATCGAATGCATCAAAGTTCCAATGCCTCCATCTTCGAATCGCCAGTGACTCATGGTTACGCGTGGGATTCTTTTGCGTAGCGGAATATCTTCCTCCGCGCCTAGCGGGACATGCGCGATGTTTCCGGCTCCACTCCGGTCATCTGCGTCAAGCATGAGAGTGTGTACAGTCGATAAATCAACGTCTCCGACAATGTGCCTGGCCAGGTCACAGAAGTGTGTGGCCTGCTCAACTATTGGGCCGCCACTGAGGTCAGCGTTATACCAATACTTATTGGTCATTTCAGTGTAGGCGAAGTAATAACGTGCGTTGAAGGCCATTACCTTACCTCCGTGTTCTCTCATTAATTCTTTCATTTTAATAACTGCAGCGTGGTATCTGCAAAAGTGAAAGCGAAACTATTTGTAATATAACATATGTGAAGATGTAAAGATCATGATATTAATCTCTTAGATATTGCCTAAGGGTTGAACTAAACATTAACTTCAAATAAATTACGTGACCATGTATTTTTAAATATTTCAACTTTCAAAACGAGCGTAGAAATAAAACAAAAACAAACAAAAAAACAAAAAATACAAAAATGTTATTTTCTTATTCGCCTTGAGGAGTCTACCATCCAACGTTTAATTGAAAGCATAATTCATTCTGTATGTTAAATTTTATGAATGTCAACATTTGGAAATATTTTCAGAATAGCATTGCGAACAACAAAATACACCAGCAGAAACCTACGTGATCGGCAGTATAGATGTTAATAAATCAAGTTTTACGGATTGTTTATAATGGCAATTTTATTTTATTTATTCATTCCATATGAGTATCTTGTATCTCTCATGAATAGTAGAATGTTATCCGATATGGTTCGATTCAATAAGGCGAAAAGTCATAAACCTGAACATGTATCCCACAGAAAGGACCACCTTGGATTCCACCACAGCCTTCTGCACAGCCGCAGCGTAGAACCGGAAGTCGTCAAGTGGCAGAACCGACATGGGTTTCTCCATGAATACGTGGATGCCTGCCCTTACGCACTGCAGTTCTAGATCCTTTTTGGGCTCGAGAGAGCCCCGTGCCATCGGAGGAACTCCTATGAAAACAGCGTCTGGATTCATGGCGATGAGATTAGACAAGTCGGCCATTACCCGACAGTCCTTGTAGAGGTGGCCATGTTGTGACGTTAACCGTGTCTGCAGCCTCTCTTCCGCTTTCTCCGTGTCCGGATCGACGATTCCTATTACTTGTATTCCACCAAGACGTTCAAGACGGGAGGCGTGGTCCCAGGGCACGTGCCACCGTCCAAAATTGACATTACCGGCTCCCACAAAGCCTATCCTTAATGTTGTTTTTGACATACCTAAAATAAAAATACATCTATGGAATTGTGGGATCGCACAACGTATGATAATAGCTTGCGGACATCTGGGCGCAATATGAACGAACGAACGAAACGAACGATAAACGATATATGTAAAAGGAATGGCTTATGAATTATTTATTTTTCATTTATATATGCATATATACTCCATGTTTTAAAGTGTAATGTCATTTATTAGCAAGATCAATAAGCGTATCTGTTTTTTATATAATTTATAAATGGATATTTATTGATCTTTGTCGACACGTGTCAAATTTCGGACACGATCTCATTCATGCATAAGGATGCCAAGCCGCGTTTACAATCTACAGCTTTTGGTTAGCCGGATCACCTCAGTCAGCGAGCTGTGAAATATCCAAGTGTCCATAGAAACTAAAGACCAAAACAAACGCAATAAACGCATATGTAACGTCCAGCTGTACTTTGAAAACGGTTGTACATGTATCACCGACCATCTCTATAATCAGAGGTTATCGTCGATACCAGTTAGGGCAAAACACACAGTCACTTATTCAAATATTCTCTCAACCTGGTCCAGCACTTGAAATGTTAGATCGCATTCTTGAAACGTTTACGGTATTAAAAATGCTGTGTAACTTGCATTTTGAATTTGGATGCAATACAAAAGATAATTATCAGATGTCCATTACCTAGAATATACCTTATTCCACATGAGTCTTCAAGATTGTTTTCCAATTCAAACATTTGTGCGATTTGGTTTGGTTTCAATTTGTTTAACGTCCTATTAACAGCTAAGGTTATTTAATGACGTGCCTCTCTGTGTGTTGTGTATGCTTGCTTGCGTGTGTGTATGCAGGAGACGGGGTATGTTGCTGTGCTTGCCTCCTTGTAATAGCGCGAATCTGATGCCAACTTTAAAGTATTAGCTCACTGAAACACCACGCCGAAGGCACACAGCACAGCATTCCGCCCGGTCACATTATAATGAGAACGGGTGAACCAGTTGTTGTCATTATCCTTAATGCTGAACGTTAACCATTTTAAGGACATTGATATTACCATAAACGCACAACAGGCGAATAATTGCTTATCACACGATTGTGCATACCATGTGCAGACGATGAACGCACCGTGTGTGATATCTGTGTGCACACAACTGTATTCTGTGTAAAATTGAAAAGAGGCAACACAACCCTTTGCGAGTTACGTTGCCAGAACAGTTTGAGGCAAAAACACTTGTCCAGATGTTAGTTTGACATGAAAAGTCTCTGAATTTGTAAAAAAAAAAAAAAACAGTACAATGTTTGGGGTGTCGACGCTATGACGCTGCGGAAATCAGTCCGGTAACCTACAAGACCTTGCTCCAGCACTTCCGCCAGAATAGTTTACAGGCCCAATTTAAGAAGAATATGTTCATTCTCATCATAACCGTGCAGAATTTAATTACAGATATAGTAAAACTAATTATATCTTATATAGTTCAGATATCAAGACAAATGTCCAAGAATGAATAATCTCTGAAGAGGATGTTACAAATGAAGCCATAGTGCAAGGGACTATGATCGTCAATAAACTAGTAAAATAAATTGTGTTACCTCAATGAATGGTTTTCGGTGTTGACTACCTCGCTGTGAACTGCATGTGTATATAAAGATTCTAGTCTTATCGGCCCTTGTAACGAGATAAAGTCTGTGTGGTCTTATCTCATTACCAATGTATTCCTATTGCTAGACAGATAATGATAATGGTGTGTTGCATGTTTAGGCATTAATTGCAACAACAATCTATAAACGCACAGGTTAAATTCTAAGGTTATCAATTATGTGCTTTTGTTGAGGTGCATATGTATTTATATGAACCTGAGAAAGTTATATTGACCGAGACAAAGTCGTGTTCAAAACACTTCTTAGATCAATATATCCACTTATTCACCGAAATAAGATGTCTTTAATGGTTATATTAGATGCTAGCTAATGTTTAAACCATTAAACAAGATGGAGCGTATGGACATTACTCGAAGACAAGTACTACATTCGGCAGAGAGAATTGTCACGTTACAATTTAAATGACGTCATAATTGGATACTGATTTGCTGTTTCTAAAATTAAAACACTGTGTAAATATCACAAATCACCGACCTCCATGTGATAACGATCCAACCAATGAGGATGTAAGGAAAAGATTAGTTATCTACTTTTTTGTGTTTTAAGATGACATCTACTTTTTAAAATACATCAAGTCAACATTCTCTTTATGACGTCATTTCGGTTGTAACGTCCAAATACTCTAAGCCAAGAGCGATACTTTTCTCTTAGTTCTCATATGTTCCATCTTTTATTGATAAAATGCCACATAGTTTCATCTCTAATATAACATTACAAAGGATTTTTATTTCAGTGAATATATTCATATATATACATATATTTGCATAATATTGAACCAGGTTCACGTAACCAGATATTCACCTCCAAAAGGTTAATAATTGAGATTAACATATGGACAGATAGTTATATCTCGACCTCCCCCTGTCGCCGTATTGCCAGGTTAGTTCATTAGTCTTCAATGCGTCTTCTCACAAACTCTCGATAAGGGTCTGCTCCCCCTAACGAACAGCTTTGATAAACGTGTCTAGCTCTCTTGAATAAGTGTCGTCATTTTCGAAAACGAAATCCTGGTCTTCGTTGGGATTTCCGCTCTCTAGACTTCGGACCTTGAGTATACGTGTACTCTCGTACAGGTCTATCAGCGAAAGTTGGAGACCGTCCAACTTAACGTCAATATTTGCTTGGAAACGACTTCCGTGCAAGGTTACAGAGTACATCAAAGTGCCAAGACCACCATCTTGAAACCTCCAGTAACAGAGTGTGAAACTTGGGATCCGCTTGCATTGGGGGATGTCGTCCTCAGGTGATTCATATTAGCGGCCTCGCCCTTGTCCGTGTCATTCATCTTTAGCGTGTGTAGTGCCGTCATGTCTATATCCCCGACAATGTATCGGGCAAGGTCACAGAAATGGGTAGCCTGTTCAACGATTGGTCCGCCAAAGAAGTCCGAGTTGAACCAGTCTTTGACGATTCCCTCTGTGTATGCGAAGTAATAGCGGGCGTTGAAAGCTATCACCTTACCGTCATGTTCCGCAATTAGTTCCTTTATTTTCAGGACGGCAGTATGATACCTGCAAACGTCGATGAGAAAATCTGTTTTTTAAACCATACAATGTTATCAACTGCAAAGAAAGTCGACACTATGTCAACATGCTAAACCTGATTTAATAAACTGGTAATACATACAAACAACAAAGTTTTTAAAGGGTGAAGGGAATGAAGAAATTGACTGAAAAGAAAACAGATATATACAAGACAATGTAGGGATGATAAACCATTGAACATATCCTTAATTTGGAAATAAATTATGATTTGCGATAACTGAATTTCCAAGTTAATTTGCGAAAAGATGATCGTGATTCGCATATCAAGGAACATATTGTTGGAAGTTGTTTATTTTCTCGAATATGTCGATTGAATATCAAACCCAAAAGAAGGTATTCGAGAAAAATCGAATATCTTGGAACACAATGATTAATCGACAAGAATTCAGAGACCTAGCCCTGACACATGTTGTCCTTTTCGTATTTGTAAAAGTTTAAGAGGATGCAATGCGTCTCAAAAACACCGCCAAACTGTGTTGGCCCAACTGTTTAATCAGATTACATACGCGATTTACAATAGCAATGCTTCGATCCCCAAACGTCAACTAAATGAGGATCTAAACATTAATAATGGCAAATCCGTTTGGCCCCGAACAGGTTTTTATCCCACGTAAAATGAAGGGAGGTGATTTCTTTCAAGAAAAAGCTTATAATGTTCTAGAGGAAGAAATAAATCACTTCCAGGACAATATCTCTACAGTGACCGAATTTCATTATTGTGAACAATTATCAATTTATTTGACCTTTTACAACCTTCATCACACTAAATAAAAGAATGATCAGCATAATAAATCTTGACTCGAAACATTTAAAAGGACAAGAGCTAAAAGGATGACAAAAATATTACAGGGTGGTCAAAGATCAAGTCAGATCATCATATTATACAAAATATTTTCATCGGCAGGATATATGATTATGAATAAGTATTCTGTACCTTCATATAGAAGAAAATATGTCATTGTCTATTGATAGAAGAATGATTAAATCCTGTAATGAAAGAACTGCTGATATTATATATTTTGCATCAAAAAAGTCACCAACTTGCGTCTTTGGGTTATGCTTGTACCAACAGTTGCAGTCACGATCACCAGTGATACAAAAAATGTTTAGGTAAAAAAATGTTCTTGTGGCTGTTTTAAGTGTCTTATGACAAGATTTAATACTGTCTAAAAGGACAACAAAGTAAGGATAGCGACATATTATACAAAGAACAATCTGGTTGCAGTTCGGGCAGGAAAGTTGTTATAACACTTTTGTGTAATCTCAATGGTTAAAACAAATCTCTTTGTTAAACACATCTTTTGGATTGAGAAAACAAAAGGTAGTGTCTGGTACTAACGAACAGAATAGGAGTTCTACAAGATGTCAAATAGTTTTTATCATGTAATGGAGCTTAGACCTATTTGTCTGTAAGTTTTATACACACGGGTGAGAATGAATAAGCCTTTGGTAAGAACTAGAAAACTAGAGAAGATATATGGTACCCACTTCCTTTTGTTTTGTATTTTAACAATAAAAACTATAACTGATATATTTTTATTGAGATTCATTCCTTATCATATATACATACAATTATGTGTATTTCCTACCTGAACATATACCCAACAGACAGGAAAATGTTGTTTGCCAGGCACGCCTCCGCTACTGCGCATGCGTAGCGGGAGAACTCTTCCGGGGGGCAGGATCGAAAGAGGCTTCTCAGCGAACACATGTAAGCCAGCTCGTGCAAATTCTAGTTCAAGATTCCGTCCCTCTTTTTGGGAGCCCCTGTAAACTGGAGGAATTCTGATGAAGACCACATCCGGTTGCATTCACAATAGCTCTCTGTAATTAATAAGCAGACGACAGTGTGTGTACATGTGTCCATGCCAGTCGTTCCTTTAGTACCTCGTTACTCCGACAGGTGTCGGGGTCAACAATTGCAATCAAATCCAGTCCATTAAGTTACTCAAGGCGTGACGCATGATCCCCTGGTACTTCCGGTCTGCCAAATTGAATAGCTCCAGCCCCCACAAACCCTATCTGGAGGGTTATTTGACTCATAACTGCACTTATGTAATATTCGGAACTAGAATAAACCACGCGAAATATATTTCTATGTCGATATTGTAATACCGAATGGATGACCTAGGTAGTTTGCTCTAACACTGAAAATGTCACGTATTGTACATCACTCACACATATACGACGTTTAGCTATTTACAAGTACTTAAAACACATATCCTTGCATACCTTTGTTTGTACTCTCCTACACACACACACTTCAACAGCCTGATGTAGAAGAGACAGAGAGGTCAAAATATAACGGAATATACAGGTAGATAAGCATGACTGACCGGTTAGCGAATCACAACCGCGGCCAGGCTCAGCTTCTAAAATCATTTTTGGGTACAGTTACACCTTACGTTTTAAGCCATGTGTCCATGACTTTGGACTTCAAGCTTTGTTCCCCTCCTGTACTTGATATACTACCTGTGTTGTGTGATTCGTCATCGGTTTAAGTCTTGGTTTGCGTATAGGGTTATCTATGCGACTGAGCAAACTATTGCAAATTGTCCCCGTCTTCCTCTGCGGATCTTGCAGCTACTTTACCCTCTCATGCTACGAAACGTACAAGATGTGGAGCGGGTGTTTCCACATCTATGGCTCTTGATTGTGCCTTCAGATCAGCGTCTTGTTAACTTGTTAGTAGAGACAGACCTGAACCTTGTCATGACTTGTTCATCAAGCAATATACAAAAACGTAGACGGCTACATAATTGTTATAATGATAAACGTGAAGTTTTGTACTGCATCTTCCACCTTTCTTGCCGTCAAAATCATTGATATTAAGTTTCAGTTTATTTACATGGCCAGATTAGTTTTCCTCTGAACGGGTAGCGGTTTCCCTCGGTATGTGGCATGCGAGAGCCAGTCGAAGAGCTGGAGAGACTGCCACATTTCGTCAATTCATCACAATCATCAGAAAAGTTATCATCTGTATCAATCTGTCCAAAATAACTCTTTTCTATCATTAACACAGTATATCCCATTAGGGCAATAAGATGGAATAAGACTTAAATAAGGAACTAAGAAATGCTTATATACATGATGCATAAATTGTAATTTACAACCCATAGTTGGATGAATGTGATAGATGTCCGATATTCATTGTAAGTTGCCCAGACGTCATAATTATCTGATAAAGCCAAGACGAATTTTTAAACAATGACAAATCATTCCTTGAATAGATAAATGTAATGCAACGTACTTAAATGACCTTACTTCCGTGAAAAGCGATTAGATACCACAAAAATAAGCTTTTTATGTTGGGTTCTTCAAGTTTAACACGATACTACATAAGATTCATGTCATAATTCATTTTAAATTGACTCTTTTCCCCAGATAAGCTCTTTCCATTTTCGAAGTGTTGACATGCAAAATGTGTAATCTAAGCAGTCATCACAAAAATGAAGATGCTGGTTTATACATGCGTTATTCTAAATGATTTCTGATGTCAGTAATTTGTATTCGACAATAAAGACTGTTTCGCTGTTAAAAGCAGTCCTGTCTGATAAAGGTTTAGGTATCAATAATCAAACAATGACAAATCGTGTTCGGTACAGATACTAGTATCACACGTTAAGCAGCGTACTTAAAATAACATTTATCCCGTAAAAGCTATTAAATACCACAATGAGTCGCTTTTGTGTTTGCTGCTTCAATCACGTAATGTGCAATACATTGAAGTCATACGATTTTAGAATTGAATCTTTTCCTGACACAAACAGATCAACTCTAGACCTTCTTCTCGAAAAATGATGGCAAGCAAAGTGTTCAATCAAATTACTCCACGCAAAGTGTAGATGCTGGTTGATATGAATAAATTCACCAGCAAATAACCATGTTAAATTCTAAAATATTTCCTATGTCGGATATTGGTTTTCGATGTTGACTGTTTCACTGTTAAAAACAGTCCTATCTGATATAGGTTCGGTATCAAGACGAATTTTCAAAAAAAAAAAGACAAATTGTAGATACCACATGGTTTGCAACGTACGTAAGATGACATTTCTCCCGTAAAATAAAGATTAGATATCACACTTAGTAACTTTGCGTGTTGGTTTTGTCATTTTAACGATACACGTGTACAAACATTCAGAGATATTTTGACCCTTTGCATTCCTATCGCGTTACAAATTTTAAAATAACTCAATTACCAAACATTCAATGCCGATGTTGTCATTTTTGTATTTATTTCAAAAAAAAATACAATTTCATTTCTAAACCCAAACGAAACAACATTTTGATATCTCGCTGCTGGAATTTAGAGTTCATAAACAAAGATTATTTTTATTAATATCACGAAAAAGATTTATATGGTCACTAATTCTTGACTTCCCCCTGTCGCCGTATTGCCCAGGTCAGTTCATAGGTTTTCAAGGCATCTTCATAAGAGCTCTTAATGAGGGACTGCTTTCCTTGACGAACAGCCTGGATGAACAAGTCAAGCTCTCTCAAATACATGTCGTTTTCGAAAACAAAATCCTGGTCTCGGTTGGGATTTCCACCCTCTAAACTTCGGACTCTCAGAATACTGATACTCTCGTACGGGTCTATGAGCGAGAATTGGAGACCGTCCAGCTGAACGTCGAAGGTAACATGGTAACGACTTCCAGGCAGCGTAAGGGAGTGCATCAACGTGCCGAGACCACCGCCCTCAAACCTCCAGTGACTGAGGGTGACTCTGGGGATCCGCTTGCTAGGTGGTAAGTCATCCTCCGCGTTGTTCAATACATGATTCAGCTTACCGGCCCCGCCTTTGTCCGAGTCGTTGAGCATGAGAGTGTGTAATGACGTCATATCAATTTCCCCTGCAATGTATCGGGCAATGTCACAGAAGTGGGTGGCCTGTTCTATGACTGGTCCTCCACTGATGTCGGAGTTGAACCAGTACTTGTTTATTCCCTCCGTGTAGGCTAAGTAATAGCGCGCGTTGAACGCCATCACCTTCCCGCCATGTTGCGCAATTAGTTCCTTCATTTTTAAGACTGCTGGGTGGTACCTGAATGGAAAAAAGAAAGATTCTTTGATAAACGATATGCAAGGAAATGAAACTTCTTTTGATACGTAATTTTATGATTTTCCATTAACACAAACACCCAAGTGTCGGACGGAGAAAATAGGTGGAGGAAATGATAACGCTACTTTATTTTCATAAAAAGGCACAACACTGAAAAGACACTACTCGTGAATTCGTTATCGAACAAAGATATGTTAAAACACATTTTACATCAATCTTTGTTCCATTTCCTAAATTCAAATCCGCACGTATAGGTTGAATTAAATATTCCCGGAAATTAATAATAGCGAACGATGAAATAACTGTAGAAAAGTCATGATCGCAGACTCTGACGTACATCGCCTTTGTTTGTACTTTATATCAATTATAATGTATGACCCTTGTATATTGTCTATCCTACCTGAACTTATATCCCACAGAGATGACGACGTTGTTCGTCCTACACGCTTCCGCTACTGCGCGTGCGTAAGGAGAGAACTCCTCCGGAGGCACGACCGACAGAGGTTTTTCCACGAATACATGTATTCCAGCCTGTGCAAACTCAAGTTCCGGATTCCGTCCGCTCTTAGGAGAGCCTCTATACCCTGGCGGACTTCCGATGAAGACCACATCCGGTCTCATTCCCAATAGCTCCGTGTAATCAGTAAGCAGACGACAGTGTGTGTACATGTGTCCGTGCACAGAGGATGCAAGTCGTTCCTTTAGTACCTGGTCACTCCGACAGGTGTCGGGGTCAACAATTCCAATCACCTCTATTCCACCGATCTTCTCAAGGCGTGACGCATGATCCCACGGTACTTCCGGTCTACCGAAGTGAATAGCTCCAGCCCCAATAAACCCGATCTTGAGAGTGACTTGACTCATAACTGCACGTTTGCGATGGCCAGAACTAAAAAAAAAAAAAAAGAAGAAATGTGACCTTTGACAACAGCAAGATACAGTTTCCCAAAAAAAAACTTTTTGTCACGAATACCGCTCATATTAGAAAGTATCAGTACAGGAAACCTCGCCAAACACCGGTCGAAGTGAAAAACCACTGTGTTATACCAATCTGCTTGTATTCCATCAACATCAGTTTATGTAAAGGGTCTAGAATACAATGTATGTATGCCCGTGAAAGAAATGGCTTAAAGGTACTTAAATACGTAAATAATGTATACCAAATGACAATATGACCTGCTGTGAAAGACATTCAACATATATAACAGACATATATCAATATAAAGAATTTTAAAGCCACCATTTTTGTTGTCAGACAATACTCGACTTAAGTGGGAGTAATTGCCCTTTGAACGTGTTACGATGTATGCATTTTTTTTTGCCAGGTGAAATGTAGCGAGATATTTTTATATAATTCCTTGTAGCAATGAGTGTGCTTGCCAAAAGATATAAGACGCAAATACATGGGATAAGTATACGTAGGATCGTTTAGTTGATTTGGGTAAGTATTCTATAAATTATCTGATATATAAATATAACTATAAAAGAGGAAATGGCTATGCAAGCTATTAGTGACGCTTCCAAATTGAAATACGTTTTATAAACATCCTAACAATACTGTATTGTATATCATGAACCAGTTAGGGGAGGGAGGTCCAAACATTGTAAGGAAAGAGCTGAATGGAGAAATTGGGGGAGGGAGATTGATCTAATAGAAAATCAACAGACTGAAAGGGTTGCCAGAAGCGCAGAAACCCTCTAGAACTGCCACTTCAGTTTGTATTCGTATCAGATGTTAACAAAAAAAACGATATTTCTACATGGCAATGAATGACCAACTTCAACTACATGAAGATTATATCAAAGAAGGTCGATATCACTGAAATCAACGACTGGAAACAGATTGTGTAATGTTAAGCCTGTATCCGTATCGAGTGACTTTGAAAGATTCAACGGGGGAGAGTCGGGTAACTATGTCCGATCGGAATGGTTTCAGTTCTATTTTGGTATGAGGGGAAATAATTGTATCATATATCTCTTCTACAGTGATGTTCGAAAGACAGTTGCTGAATATGCACCTTTTTTACCTGGGGATTACATAAATTTCCTTAATTTTCGAATCACTACCTACTAAATAATTTTTAAAAAGATCAAACACAGTCGTGCATCTTTTTGTCTGTCAGCTAGGAATTGCCATCTGATATGTTAAAAATGTTGTGGTACTAGATAACCTATATAAGCCTGCAAGAAGGCTGATACTGCTGGGGGTATCATTGCCCAAGGTTGGCTGCAACTTTGTAGCTGGTATTTAATCTAGCAAGGTTTACATGAAATACTAGATAAGTATATGTTTGTTTGGGGTTTAACGTCCTAGAAACAGTCAGGGTCATGTGAGGACGAGTGCCTAGGGGGACATCGCTTTAAACAGAAGAGGATAGAAGAGAAAACCAATTGTTGCAATGGGGGCAGAAGATCCAAAAAAACCCGATTCTGCAGGGGGGGGGGGTTCAAAATAAGTCGCCTTGAACGATACATATGCAGTGGGAAATATTAGGTCTATTCTTGATTTCCTGAATGTCTCGTCAACTGAAGACAAGGAAGAAACCACCCTTGATTCTGCAGGGGAGGGGGCACATTAGTTGCCTCTTACGATCATGCAATGGGGTACAGCAGGCATATTCTGATAAGTATAAATTATCTTCTGTATCCAAACTTTGTAAAGTAACGATGTAAAGAGTTGTATACGCATCTTAACCTTGTTTGTATATTCTACCTGTTCCGGAACACTTCAGGCATGAATTGTTTATCCTTTTGACCTTTTAACCTTTATAATCACTTATGAGTTCTAAATGGACAAAATGACCATACGATACAAAATAATGTTTACTTTAGCTCTCTGCATACTAGTATACAATCAAATTTTTTAAAAAATAAGTGCCTTACTTCTTCGTAAACCCAGTGATTATTTTTCGCATCAAGGTGGTGGACTATCAGTCCCCATGTTGGCCGTAGCCGTAGTTGGTACTCATTCTGACAGGGTTTGTTTATATGAAATACTTGTTTAAGTATCGTTGTTTCCTAAAGAAAGGGTTTTGTTGGCACCTTTCCCTTTAAGCTGCATTTCTACATACGTTTCGGAAATCTTTAGACGTTCATTTTCATTCAAGTAACTTTTAATACAAATGATAAGTCCTAGATGTGACGAAATAGACATGTGGTGTTGTAAAATGTTTACTTTCTGCACCTAGAATTATCAAATATGTTGGTTTTTTCCTCGTACTTTTATTGACTTTTTCCTGTGTTTTATTGTGTAAGCGGATACCTTGTTTGTTTATATTCTGTATTACGTCCTATTAAGACCTATGGTCATTTAAGGACGAGGCAAGTTTTGGTGCTAGAGGAACGCAGGAGTATCCTAAGGAAACCCATCGACCAGTGGCCAAAACCTGGCGACTGCCCCACGGAGGCCTCCTAGTGGTAGAGGGCTAGTGATCGTAGACGGTCAGACACCTGTGTTGATACCATACAGTAAACACATACTATAAGGATGGATGGGTGAGTGATCTGTATGCCTACGCATTAAATGAAGTTGAACCTACTTATAAATTCATCTTAATCTGCCATATGCTTAGATGGTCTCATTACATATGCTGATAAGTGAGAGACCCATTTATTCATACCAAGATATTTCGCACTGTATATTTTTCTGATATGAAACCATGAAAGCTTTAAGTTATAGATGATATGAAATTTTGAATACTTTTTTTTTGTTACAGAGCACATGGCATTTAATTGTGTTGAAGGCAATTTTCGCTTATTTTCTCCGTTTTGATTGCTCGAATGCTACAGAGTGGTAGCATCGTATTTTGACCTAACGACCATATATGCAGTTGCATCTCGTACAAAAAAGATGAATGGTAAATAGAGGATCTTACATAGATGTCCATGTCATATTGATACTCAGCAGGTATGTACATATAATGCAAGGATTGAAATTAAGATTTAGCTCGTAGTTTTACACATAGATTCAATGACATTTAGCGATGAAGTGTTCCATATTAGATATGAAAATATGAATTTGAAATGAAATATTCATTCTAGAATTTTATTTGATTTCTTTAATAAATTAGCCTTTTTACTACATAGGCAATTTAGCTTTGAGAATGATTGTAAATCTTCGTTGAAGAGGAGCGAGTATATTGCCATCACATACAGTCACATGCAAGAAAAAACATCATTTGGTGATCTTAATAGTAACACAAGCTTATATCTTATACGTTGCAGATAAATCGTTTCTGAAGTAGAAATAGCATGCCATTCAAGAGAACAGCGGTCTATAAATGTTCTTATCCGCTTGAGAAAAAAAATACTTTCTTACCTCTCTCAATAGTTTCCAGTGTAAGGTACCTCGCTGTTATCTTGATATGCGATTTAGGTCAGCATTGTTGATTCTTACCCTGAAGATAAACCCTGGGTGTTCTTATCGTAAACAAGGAGTAACGTATTAAGCTGTTTAGCAAAGTAACGTGTCACAGAATTGACGGACATTTACGAATTATTTAATTCAATCTCTATCATTTGCAGGTTCGGGAAAAGAATTTATCATCTATATACAACTTTATACCACCTACCGGTAGCATGATAAATTCATTACCATTAGTTGTCAGTATGAGAAGAAGTTGAAAATGGATTATCCAATTTCCCAGCACTTGGGAACGTATTTTTCTCAAAAAAGAACGTCTGCTCGCGCCAGATGACGTCAAAAACCGGAAATAGTGTCCACACTAAAGTGATCCGCGTAAAAAAATAGTCAGTCATAAACATATCAACACAAAGTAACGGGAAAATATTGTGAGAACAACACCATTTCAGGTGTAAATGTGCATATGGAAAAGCCAATGACGATAGGATTGTTTTAAAAATATTTTTGCTACGTAGTTTTAAGGATCATTGTATTCCTCCGCGCAAAACTTCTATTTGTTTACGTTTGTCACAAGCGATCGTTGACCATTGAGCTTAGAAGTCATCTGGAAAACATGGTGTTTAGTTGAATTTTTGAATGGAGACATATATAAGGTAGTAGTATATAGATGATAAATAGTTTATCATACAGTGTGTTCAGTGTTTGGCGTGAGAACAATTTTCTCATCGCTCGCACGTGGATAAAATCGAGAGGCCACCGCATCGTGATAATCTATAAATACTTGCTGTGTCCCACTGCATGTCGTAAAAGCGATTGATGTGGCCCCTGCAGAACTGGGTGTTGTTTTTTTACTAAGAAGACATTTAAGAGATCATGTGTCATGTATTTTCGCAACTGCATGTTGCAAAAGGCGACTGACATGTGGCCCCCTGCTGACATGGGGTTTTCTGCGACGTCTTCTACTAAGAGTACAACGCAAAGATCACGTGTCATAGTGTTGACAGGTGTTTACGAAGTTTTCAATCCAATCCCTACCCTATGCAGGTTTTGGAAAAAAGTAGATCTGCTGCATCCCACTACATGTCGCAAAAATACCTTGCAGGTATGTGCCCCCAAGCAGAATCAGGGATTATCGTCGGTGTTTTCTACCAACAGGACAATGTAGAGACCATGTGTCACAGTGTTGAAAGTCATTTACGAAGTAATAAATTCTATCTTTACCCCATGCAGGTTTGAGGAAAGAATAAACATGATGTATCCTCTGCATGCTGCAAAAGCCGAGTAGCCTTCTGCAGAATCGGGGGTTTTCTTCGGTATTTTCTACCAAAATGACAAGAGACTGTGTGTCAGTGTTGGAAGTCATTTACTAAGTAATTAATCTTATCTATACCCTATGCAGGTTCCGGGAAAGAAAAGAAGTTTCTCAATGCATGTCAAAAAAAGCGACTTATGTAGCCTCATGCAGAATCGTGGGTTTTCTTTGGGTGGTTTTTTATTTTATCTACTAAGAGGTCGTAGAAGTGACCGTAAATCATAGTTTTGACCCGACAATAACGGAAAATTTCATTGCACTTCTACAATATGCAGATTCGGAGAAACAATTGACCTGCTGTATCCCTTTGCATGTTGCAAAAGGCGACTTATATGTAGTCCTCTTGATGAATCAGGGGTTTTCTTTTGTTTCTTTTTCTAAGATACCCACCATTGATCTGCTGCCCCTATTGCACATTGGGATTTGTCTTTCCTTTTTCTCTCTTAGCTACTCTTTACTTTCGGTGGTGCCTCCCTAGGTACTCATTTCCAAGTGACCTTAGATGGTGTGATGACGTTAAACCCCAAATAAACAAAACAAAATCGATCTCTGAACGGACACCAAGATATTGAGATACATTTATATATGTATGATAATCTTTTCTATTTCGATTTTCCGATCGTGAATAGTCTCTTTCTTGAAACATACAATGGCAATGGTAACATCTCTGCTTTCACTACCTTCGTTGTTTACCCGTCTCATTTGATTTGATATTCACGAGCTTGCTTCGAATACCACGTCTTCCATAATAGATATCAACTATTGACGGACAAACTTATAAGTGTTCTGAGAGAGGCATGTTTATAAAGACTATGGACAAAGTGTTAATATCAGGCACTAAAGAATCCACCATATTTTGTTTGTGCATATTTAACCCTAGATTTTGCTGTAGTTTCATCATTTTTCACATTCACATTTTCGGCCGCGGTGGCCTAGTGGTTAGGGCGTCTGCTACCACTAGCCCTCCACCACTGCGTCACGGGTTTGAGGCCTATGTGGGGCAGTCGCCAGGTACTGGCCGCAGAACGGTGGTTTTTATCCGGGTACTCTAGCTTTCCTCCGCCACCAAAACATGCCACGTCCTTAAATTACCAAAGCTGTTAAAAGGACGTAAAACAAAAACAATCAAAAACAAAAATCAAAAATCAAACGTTACGTTCATCTTTCAAGAAACAAGATGATATAATCTACTGGTGGATTGTTTTAGTCCCCGAGGGTTTGTTGTAACCTTGACGGCCACAATTATCGCTTTTAAGCGACACGGTTCATCACATACACACTGCATAGATTTTCTTAAATTTGAAAATACTAGTCCTCTCAATTTTTTTGATTTCACAGATAAAGGGGTTTAACACACCTACCGCTCTGTTTCAAAAGTATAGAAAATTTAGATTACCGACGTTTTGGTCACGCGCATCACCGATGAGTCCTACAATGACGAAACAGATGTATGACGCAGCTTTATTCGTTTTTGGCATGCTGTTTCTATCACCAAAAAAATCATTTAATAGGAATATACCTATGTATCCACAAGCCATTCGGATTGGTATGTCTCCCCTGTGCCTCGCTTTGACCATCAATGCGCATATCAGAGAAACAACTTTAACGCAAAAACTTCATGTTGATGGAGATGCTGACAAAGTCAATGGACAATAAAAGGTAGACCGCATCCAGCATTTGATGCATGGGTTGAGATGTACTACCTAAGATGCATCTATGGTTCAAGTTCAGTTTGTCTAGCACTTAAACTTTCAGTGAAACTGAAACGCAAAAAAATAATGTTGACGCCGTCGCCGCCGTCGCTGGTAAACCAACACCCAAGTCTCGCTTCCGCTACATCGTGGCGCCGAAACAACAGTCTAGGGTTTTAACATAATAAAGTTTGTTTATCTAATCATAGACATCTTTTCCTAACGTTTTTTTTTTAACATACGGTATCCATTTTTCAGAACAATTCTACAATTTTGTTTTTTTGAGATTTTTCTTCAACCTTTTGTACCACTGATAATATAAAAAATGGCCATGAAGTGTAGCGAAATTTTCCTTTCTTTGACTTACTGCATCAGCATACTAAGTATTGAAGTAGTTGCTCCCTTCTTCGTATTTCGTGAGATTATTTTAGTTCGATTTACCATTTTGTTCCAATTTCACTTTTTTTCGAAAATATAAATGATAATGTTCATTTCTGAATCTTAAACAAAAACAATTAGTTATATATCTATATGTCCGACTATACATTCTTGAATATGAAAAATACACTGCAGTGAATACTTATATAAACATGTAACAGAACTGGTGATATAGTCTTAAGACCAGTCACTAGTCCTTGACCTCTCCCTGTCTTCGTATTGCCCAGGTCAGTTCATAGGTTTTCATGGCGTCTTCGTACGAACTCTTGATAAGGGACTGCTTCCCCTGACGAACAGCTTTGATGAACGTGTCTAGCTCTCTCAAATAAGTGTCGTCATTTTTGAAAACGAAATCCTGTTCTTGGTTGGGATTTCCGCCCTCTAGAGTTCGGACCTTGAGTATACTTGTACTCTCGTACGGGTCTATCAGCGAGAGTTGGAGACCGTCCAACTGAACGTCAATGGTTGCTTGGTAACGACTTCCGGGTAACGTTACGGAGTGCATCAACGTGCCGAGACCACCGTCCTGAAACCTCCAGTGACTGAGGGTTACTCTTGGGATCCGCTTGCTGGAGGGGATGTCGTCCTCCGCGTGTTCTGACTGATTATTCAGTTTACCGGCTCCGCCCTTGTCCGAGTCATTCAGCATGAGCGTGTGCAGTGACGTCATGTCTATATCCCCGACAATGTATCGGGCAAGATCACAGAAGTGGGTAGCCTGTTCCACGATTGGTCCTCCACTAAATTCCTGTTGAAACCAGTATTTGTTAATTCCTTCTGTGTAGGCAAAATAATAACGGGCGTTGAAAGCCATCACTTTTCCACCGTGTTGTGCAATCAATTCCTTCATTTTCAGGACGGCCGCGTGGTACCTGTGAAAAATTCAAAGGGAAGGGTGACTATATGCAGAAAAAAAGTCAAATTATCTTTCCTTCATTCTGAACGTGAGTATATAATTTGCCATATATATAATAAGTATATATATTTAAGGGGGATTGTTTGCATATATTTATTAAGAGAAGGGATCCAAAGGTTGGACTAAGTTGCATATGAAACAGATATTGGAATAAATCCGGAGCCTTCATAGAAAGATTGATCAACAGGCACCATATCTAAGTTTCGATTGACTGAAGCAGACGACAACAAAAGCGCGGGAAGCCAGATCATCTACACTGATATAGTGGTGTTTCGTTTCGGTATAAATATATATCTTGTGGTGGGGAAACACGATTCTTTGTTTCCCTTCGTTTACTCATGTTTCACGAAGGTCAAGCCTAAGTGAAACATGATTATTCTCGGGGAAACAAAGAATTGCTTCCCTACCACAAGGGCAATATATGTACATAACATTTGAAACAATGTACAAATTTTGACATAATAATACAGTAACTGTGTCAATAGAAACACCATAGAAAAGGGATCGTTATAGAGTACAGAAAATTTAAACATTGACACCATGGAAACAGGAAAGTGGCGATAACACTTCTTGTTTTGGATTTTTTTTAAACACAATTCAATGAAAACTTAGAAACAGTAGATCGTGTTTGGTTTCAAAAATAGCACACAGAAGTTACTTCCTCATCTACAAGATCTTCAATGATGTCGTCTCATATTATCAACAACGGAATTCAAAACTTCCGGTCAAATAATGACTACGTTGCATCTGCATGTACATAAGCAGGTATAAACCTTTTATATGGAATCTGATTAGTTCAAGTTTACCGATGATTCTTTGATTAAATATTGCATAAAGGTACAATATAATGGACAAATGCCTAGTTGACATATTGTATCGTTCCTACCTGAACATATATCCAACAGACAGGACGACGTTGTTGGTCCGACACGCCTCAGCAACTGAGCATGCGTAGGGAGTAAACTCTTCCGGTAACACAAGCGATAGAGGCTTTTCTACAAATACATGTATTCCAGCCTGGGCAAACTCTAGTTCCAGATTCTTTCCCTCCTTTGGGGAGCCTCTGAAGGCAGGGGGAATCCCGATTAAGACCACATCCGGTTTCATTCCCAAAAGTTCCCTGTAATCAGTAAGCAGACGACAGTGTGTGTACATGTGTCCGTGCTCCGGAGATGCTAGTCGTTCTTTTAGTACCTCGTCGCTCCGACGGGTGTCGGGGTCAACAATTCCAATCACCTCTATTCCACCGATCTTCTCAAGGCGTGACGCATGATCCCACGGTACTTCCGGTCTACCGAAGTGAATAGCTCCGGCTCCAACAAACCCGATCTTGAGAGTGGTTTTACTCATAACTGCACCTCTACGATGTTCCGAACTAGAATAGAAGAACAGATTGGATTCTGACCAATGAATTTGTTCACGCCGAGGATACGAAAGCTTGTGGAGCAAATAAAGATAAAGAGGACTAAAAGGTTCTGCAACAAGACATATTCGCGCTTTTTAAGTTATAAGAAAAATATGGCAACTGAGTTTTATTCCTAGAAAACATAAAATGGTGCCTGTGGGAACACAAAAGTTCAGAAGTTAAACTACGCTATGACGCAACCATGAAAATTCGTTAACACTGAAAAATGATGATAGCAATCGATTAAAATCTTTTCGAGAAAACAAATTCTAACAAATCGAATGCGCTTATGGCACCATTGCGTAGCTCAGTTGAATACTTGTAGTCTTAAAAATCTTGTCACTCCACATATTGGACATGCTTATCACATCTAGTGCCCTGACTTAGGAAAACATGTTGGAACAACTGAAAAAATGCATCGTCGAGCAACACAATAGGTACCAGGGTGCGTATTCATGAAATCGTCCTCATGCTCAAGCATGAATTCTGTGCTCAACCCTGATATCTTGCAAGTCGCTTAAATCAAATGACATGGTAAAAAAAAGTCGGGTGTAAACTCTGAAAACGATATTCTGCTTCAAGTCTGTTCCAAATTCTTCCAAATTACTGTCAAAATGTTAAGCATTACAGATTTAACACCGGATCAAGAAATTAATTAGGCTTGAGCACATAACTTGAGTTTGATAATGAGAACGGTTTCATGAATTCGGGCCGATCAGCATATATGTAAAAGATCGCGTGGTGACATGATGCAACCAAACCTGCTCAAGACAGTACCTGTATAAAGAGACTAACTGCTTTATGAGTTCATTAAATAATTCCCGATAGACATGACCGAAAAGCCCCCAGACATTCTTTTTCAATTAAAACCAGAGACACATAGTTTTTAACGACTTATTAAGGTTAAACGCGAGAAACGATTCGTTTAGGTAAATAACTGCTGATATATGGAACAGAACTCCGTCTAATATAACAATATCAATCAAAGTTGGACTATTTGTGTATGATTTTTTTTCAATTTTGGAAAAAATCCACCACAAAATATTGAGCTGTATGTAAACTTAGTTATAACAAATTGTAAAACATGTACATATTTAAGTTAATTTTACAGACCATATCAGGAATATCTTCATACGTTTTGGACATGTGTTGTTGAACAACAGAAACGGGCACACAGGTCGTTTATGATAGACATAAAGAAATAAATTGTGAGCATGTAATGATTAGATATATGACAAGAGAGAGAAACGTCTTATGTTTTTTCAAGATAAGTGCCACTTTTTGTATATTCATGAGGTTGACGTCAGCCACGTGCTGAAACCCGTGGCGTGATTGGCTGGAAGCGCAGCCATTTCTTCCCCAAAATAACTAGCCAATCAACACTATCTATTTCGGCACGTGGCTGACGTCAAACTCATGAAAGTGGCTTTATGGCTGCGAAAAACTTTGAAACTCGGAAATGGCAGGCCTTTTTAGAAGAAACGAAGTTAATCTCACGGAAGGAGAATACATGTTACGTGCATGTAGGAGGTTTTTAAAAGAAAAGTTATCCATCTTTTCAATGGTACTAAGCAATTTTTCGTACATCAACTAGAATGTGGTTTTTGAGGCAAGGAAGTTAGATGGGGTCGATTTTTCGACATCGAGAGCTTTCCTCCCCTGTCGTATCATCATTGGAATGGCATTTTTACCGGAAGTCGATGTAAACCCCCGAAATGTGTCAAGTTACTCTGAACACCTTGGTTTAGGTCAAATATAGCTGTAACAAATTGTCAGGTCCCTGTGGCCCGGATAAGATCATCTTAGAAGAACCAGAACCAGTACTAATACAATATGTCTCCCTTCATTCGAAGTGGAGACATAATAACATCATTCCCCCTACTGGAACCACAACTTTTCCTATATTGTCTGGGTTCCATGCAATGGCCCATAATTATAAACATGTTACCTGAATAAAGTTATAAATCGCCATGTTTGTTGTCAGCCGCGCCCACTAAGGCAGTGGGAGTTATCGCCCTTAGAACATGTGTTTTATAAAACAAAAAACGATCTTCATATATGAACATGTGGAGAAACATGTTTTTTCATCTTATATTGAACATCATTGGTGATCCAATGGTAGTGTACATGAGGTCCTAATGTAGGCGGAAACAGAAGTACCAACATGTGATCAAGTGGTTCAAACCCACAGAGATTTGAATAATGTCTGGTTTAAATTTTTCGAGATATTTTACATTATGATTGACACCAACAAATGCAAAATACGCTGATATAATGAGCTCGCGAAATATAAGCGAGTATAAAGAATACCGGTACCGGTTTAATGGAAAACTTCATGCGAGTCATTTATTTTGGCGAATTCTTATTTCTAAAACTATTTGAGAGGATAGGAATTCACGAAAGCAACATATTTCCATTCTCTTGTCAAAGTATTATTTCAATCAATATTTGCTTGATAATTCAAATCGCAACATGTTCTCTGCGTATTTACACGAAAATCTATTATGTTGCCAAATGCAATTTATTTGCCGTAAGTGCATGCATTTAATAGTTGTACCGGTATCGTTAGACAAGATCCGACCAAGGATAATGGCCAAATAAAGGAATGCACTGTTATCCCTTGATCCGACGGTATAATTTAATACAAGCATAAAACGTATAAATCAATAGTTACGAGAGTTTTTATAAAGCATAAGAAATCATTTAAGAATATGTGGGTGGGACACCTTTGTGCATGCTCCCAACAGGGAATACTTTGTCGTGTTAAA